GCACGACAAGCCTTTATTGAAGGCTTGTCAACTGGGTTAAAACAGCCGTCTGGAAAAGGTAGTCGTCTGATAGTTACGCACATAGGAAGCGACAGTGGATTTTTATCAAATGGTGAATTAATATTTAAATCCAAGAAAACAGGCCACTATCATGAAGAGATGAATGCGGAGGTGTTTGAAAAATGGTTTGAAGGCATCATTCAACTTGTGGAACCTGGGTCTGTCGTCGTCATGGACAATGCCCCATATCATAGTCGGTATTTAGAATCATTACCGAAACAATCATGGAAAAAACGAGCAATTCAAGAATGGTTAATTAATAAAAACATCCAATATAAAAAAGATAGTTTAAAGGCAGAACTACTTCAGTTAACAAAATTACACAGAGACAAATATAAAAAATTCGCAGTGGATGAAATGGCGTTAAGTCGTGGAATTACAGTATTAAGGTTACCACCATACCACTGCGAATTAAACCCAATAGAATTAATCTGAGCGCAAGTAAAAGGATATGTGGAACGAGAAAACAGAACATTTAAATTAGCGGACGTGCAACGTTACCTACAAGAAGCCATTCAAAATGTTTCTGCAGAAGACTGGAAGAAATGCATTCAGCATGTTTTAAAAGAAGAGCAAAAAATGTGGGACGTAGACAACCGTATTGAACACAATATTGAACCAATCATAATTAACTTTGATGATAGCGGTAGCAGCAGTGACGAATCTGAGGTTGAAGATTAGAAGAAAATTTGTACACAAAAAGAAGTCTATATATTTAGGTATAATTTTTATTTTTACCATTCACTATTACCATTTAGAAATTATTATATAAATTTGTATTTTTAATTCCTGTACACAGACATGAACAATGTCTCAGCAGAATACAAATGTTATATGTAGGTTATATCCAAACTAATTATCTTACTTAGGGATTTCCGAAATGATAGGTGCGTGTAAACTTTTATGATTTAAGTACCAATCAAATAGTAATTTAAGCTTTATAATGTCTTTTAATGTTGGCCGAACCCAATTAGGGTTTCTTGGGTAAGGCTGGCTAGTTTTGAGGAACTGCAGGTAAACCGCGAGAGAGAGAGAGAGAGAGAGAGAGATATATATATATATAGAGGTATGCTTTATTGTCATTGAAAAATTACAAAAATTTTGACAAAGCGAAGTAAATTAAAAACTAAATATAATATAAAAAGATTAAAAAATATAAAAATTTAAAAATAACAAAACAAAACAAAATAAAAATATCAATTGCATTGGATATGCAATATCCGTCATTATGATTTTAATTTAAAATGTAAGTAATACTTCTGTATGTGTAATCCAAGAAGAAACTTAAGAGACAGTTCCTTACTGACATCGGCCGCGACATAATATATAAATATACGTTAATTTGTGAAATAAAGTTAAATTCATTATTAAAATAGTAAAATTGATAATATTGTTTCTGTCACCAAACCAACCCCTGATTAGGTATCTTTCTTATTTTTAATTTGAAATATATATTGTAATTTTTATTAATATTCTTAATTTATTTGGTTCCTACTATAATTACCACAATTATTGCTCCGTTTTCATAAAGCCCCACTAATGACTACAACGATTAGGTAAATTACGATATTGCAAAGTTTTCATGAAATAAATAAAAGAAATTGTATGAATATTTTAAATAATTGTACCCTCTCAAAAATAATAAGCACGCCTCCGATTTGGTCGTATTTCTACCTGCTTTCACTCTCAATCATTATTTGTTTGAGTTTATAAAGTTGGACGTTAGGGCATCATAAACAAATATTTGGACGTTGTGACACCATCTCAAGGTATCATTTTATTGCATATTTGATCGATGTTCTACTTCCTTACTAATTCTCCGACCAAATTTCTATAAAAAAACTCGTTTTTATTTGAATTTGTATATTTGCCAAAGGGTCTGTCGGCCGCTAACTGTTAAAGACGTAGTGGCATCTAGAATTTTTATATATTTTCTTACTTTGTGGCATCTTGCGTTATATTTTCTTATTTTGTGACACCATAAAAGTACGTTCGCCCGCCCATATCCCAACTACTTTAGAAGCGGGGATGCTTCGTCGTTGGTCACGATTCGATGGTAAAAATAGGTAAAGAATGTATATTTCATTCTCCCAATTGAGCGGTCCGTTATAGACATTTCTAGCCTCTTCAGACTCACTGGAGCGATCAGGGATCGGGTTGAATGAGGGAGGTATCTAAGAGGATGATACTGATCCAGCATTTGTCTGTTGCTATCAGGAAACCTCTGATAAAACTCAAACCAAGCCAGACGATAGTGGGGCTTAAACTAACGACCTCTTGAATACCACTCGCTCGGTGTTTCAAAGGTGTGAAATAGGCGCTCCCAGTCGATATATCCAAATAAGGGCGGTCTGCTGGGAGCGTCTTTTGTTCATCGGCTTCATGAGGATATACTACGCTTGTGCCACCCACCCTACTAACTATTTCAAAAGAGAGTGAGAGCGAAGAAAGCGCGCCGTTTTTTACTCTCTACAGCACGATACTATCGTCCTACCCACGTCCTTATCACTATTAGAAAGGCCGAGACAAGCAAACGCTACCTTCACGCATTAACCACTACAAAATAGAGCAAATGATGATGAATAATACAATGTACAATGGGTAAATTTTGTCTTAATTTTGTCAAATTTGCTGTGAAATCCCTAAGACGTGTCCTGTCATTGATGGAGCACCGTCAGTAGCTGCTGACAAAATATTGCAAATATGAATATGTTTCTCTCAAATTAATTTTTGCATATAAATTTTTTTTCTTTTATAATTCTAACGTATGATAAGAGTAGAGCTCGTAATTTGGTAGAGTTGATTCATCGATTTGAATGGAAATTTTGCACGTCTTTAAGTGTTCACATACATCTTTTGCCATTTTATCTATTCTTCCTTGCACTTATTAGTACTGAGGGGAGTTTTTTTGATGATGTCTAATCCCTGTTTTATGATAAAGAACAGTTTTTATTACCTCCTTGACTGCCGGAAAAATTAATTCCTCACCAACTGTGTGTGGTTTTCCAGCTTTTGCGATTAACATTAAAATGTATTGTCGGTTCATCGTTATCTTGTTTAGAAGACGACGTAAAAATATTTAATACAATTGGCTGTTTTAAAATTGCTTTTCCAGTAGTTGAAAACAGGATAAATATTTATTATTCTTATCATCATGTATTTGATTTAAACGCTTTCTTAGTCTAGAAGGTTTCATAACTTTATTTTAAAACCACATAGACAATTACTGGTTTGTAGAAGAGCACATTTAAAATATTCAATACTGTATTGCCGGCATTTCTATTTAAACCAAATCAATGGTAAATAGGTCGAATCGTGGCATTACATCCTGAAGACGTTGGTGTACTTCGGGTGGTAACAATTTAGACTTATATCGGTCTCATAAAACGAGGCTTTCAAAAAAATATGATCACTGTCTTCAGACGATTAAAAATTTAGCCTTTTAAGGTAAAGGGCATGTTTTGGAATGGAATAAAAACAACTCCTGGTCCTGCAAGGCAGACCACCATGATACTGTCGAATTCGCAACGTTTTTTTATTCGGAGACTTTGATATTTTTACTAATTTTATCAAAACACACCCGATACCCACATTTCCAACAAATCAGAAGTGGTTAACCGATCCAGTGAAACAGAAATATATATATATTTCAGGTACATTCCTCATATTTTGAAAAATTGTTTACATGGTAACTATCTGACTATAGATGATGACTATAGAAAAGAATTGAGTAACTTCCGATTTTTAAAATTATTGCTGCAGTAAATACTAAACAATCATCTAGAGACTTTCATATTGTCAGATTTTACAAAAAGTGTCGAAGATTTTGATGGTGAACATCTTGGAAAACCAGCATAGATTGGCTTGGTAATCTGGAAGCAGCAGCAATTTTACATCGGTAGCTAAATGCATTCAGTTTACAAACAGCTTAAATCCATATGGTTGGCACTGCAAAGAAATGGTTCATTGATAGGGGTGATGATATTAAGAGTTTTGAAGATTTTAAGGCAAACTTTAAGAGAACTTTTAAAATTAAGATGAGTAAAAATGAGATGTGGCAGAAAATAAAAAATAGAAAACAAGGTACGACTGAATCAGTATATTCTTACTTTCAAGATGAGGATACTCCTTGCAGATCCTTAAATTATGATTTTGAAGATATTAAAGAATAATAGAATTATGTAATAAAGACATTATTCATAGACTCTTAGCAGCAAACCTTAAACATAATGATAAGCTATTGCATGAAATTGTAATTTTAATCACTCTTATTTTCCTCTAAATAACACTAAAAAATAGCACAAAATGAGAAGTTTTAATATTTTAATGATTTTGCTACTATCGCATATTAGGAAGACAACAAGTAACGTACTGATGTCAAGAAATTTAATTATTTTCTTTGGTTGAATTTTTACGAGTACATATAAATAAACTTGCATAATTTTACTTAACTCTTACCCCACCTTACCTTACATGTTTATATTAGAGGTTCTCTTCTTGCAGTTGATGTATCTAATACGTATTCTAAAATATGAAAGAATTATTTTAATAATAGCTCAGAAAAGGCTCCCAATTGAATGAATGAGAATTAAACTTTCCAATGTATCCTCAAGGCTCAAAACAATTTCTGTTGACCTTCATTTCATTCACAACAAAATCCAGACACATATGAATACATACCATGTTTTCCTAACCAGGGAAAAACCATAAATTAGCCCAGGTCCCAGAGTCGCCCAATTGGTCCCCAAGGAGGTGACACCGAAATATCAGACCAATGAAACCACCGCCTCCGACGCGTGTCTACCGGCGCCCGGTTCGGCGCCGCCCCTCACGCTCGGCATCGAAACGACCGCGACGTCATCCTCGCGTAGGCTCCCGTCGAAACGCGGTCGCTCTACGTCTGGCGCGCTGCTGTGGAGAACTTTTTGTGTGCACCTGGACAACGGCACCGTGGAGACGCGTGGAGGTGGGCAATCGGGCCCGGGAGGCACCTTAGGCCTGCTCGGTGAGTCGCGAGTCGCCAGCAATATTCGTGGATTTTTTGCCACCCGAATCGGCAGCGCCCTACCAGATACAGGTGAGTGTGTAGCCACTATAGCTACCTGATTTTAGTCTATTTTTTTTAACTATAATTCCCAATTTAAGAAATATTAATTACTTTGTATTAAAAACCACACTTTTCCGAATCGAATTGCATTGAATTCTGTATATATTAATTAAATTCTGTCATTTAATAGCGTTTTAAACATCACAAATTAGTTAATCAATGTTTTTTGCTTCTGCGCAATATTTGTTTTAAATTAAATATAATTTTTTAGTAATAAATATTACATATTAATTCTACTTTTCTAATGCTTTCATACCATTTTAACTATTTTGTTTAAAATTATTTTATTTAAAAAATAAAAATATTTCATTAAGACTGTGATTAAACTAAATATATCAAAGCACACATTAAAATTTTTATATTTTTCAAATGGAAATACCAGTTGGTATATTGATTATTTCCAACTCACGTCATTAATAGTATATAGAACAAGTTTACGCACAAAATGGCCTCTTAGATAGTCACCTAAGATGGCTGAAATCGATATTAAGGTTATGTAACCCTTTCATGTCTTGAATTCCAAATTATATCTTATTTCTCTTGCTATCAATAGTTCTGTAACATTTTAAAACTTTTATTGACATTTACTTTAATATAAATGGATTTATAAAAACATAAAAACTGATTACATAACAAATTTTATGTCAAATTAATTAGTAAAAACTTATTTTTAATTTTCCATCAAAACTGAATGAAAATACTAAGATTTTCTAATAAATATTTAAAATTCAAAACAGTATATCATTTTTAGCTCTGTCGTCACTTTATACAAATAAAGAAACAACATTTATAATAATATATTCTTCGTTAAATTTTTCATATTATTGCCTATTAGTCTAGTTTGTGCAGTATATTTTATATACAAATTTTTTTTTTTTTTTTAATTTTTAATATCTACATAGTTTTCTACTACTCAATCTCATAATACTTATATTTTAGATATAAATATTTCCAGTAATAACAGTTTAGTTTCCTTCAGTAGCAGCTTGTGACCAAAATATTGTGGGTTTACAATGACAGAACATACATCTCGGTACAGTTTTAGCTAAAAAACTTTCAATGTTTTAGGAACTATATTATAAACATTAAAAGTGTTTTTTTATCTAAATTTGTTTTGAGATCTATATTCATTGTAAGCTCCCAGTATCTTGTTCGCGAGCCACCACTGGTTTTCTCTCAATTTTACTCTTTTTTAATTGCTTGTACATTTGGGCAATGTTTCTATCAGCGAATTTTATTTAGTATAAAATATACGAAACATTTTTTCAAATCTAAAACTGATAGTACATTAAATATTTTTAAAACATTAGTTTACTGATAATTTTTTGAAATGTTTACAAAAATTATTAAAAATTTAGACAACAAATTACTTCCTGCACCCTTTATTAGGTAGATATATCTATTGGAGTAATTGAAAATGATTATTAAACTAAATGAAAGCTAGTTAAAGGTAGAAATTATTTTTATTTATTATTTTGTTATCATTGGGGTGCGGGGGGTTAAGCGCAGTGCCTCCCCACCCAATCCGAGACAAAAATATTAATTGAATTCTTCTGTCCAGGTTAACCCGGATGGCACTGCGCTTCCCCTCAAGGACACCCATCAACAAATTTCCCGTCAAAACCACGTAAACCACTCATCAGATTCGTCGGAAAATAACCTCAACAATGACGACCATTCCAATAATCAACATGACGTTCAGTGAAATGAAAGAAGCTGTGTGGAATAAGCTTCACGAGCCCAGAACTCAACGGAAGCTAGTATTAGTTATAGTGTCCATAGCTCTGCTACTAGATAATATGTTATATATGGTGATAGTTCCCATTATACCGGATTACTTGCGTTACATCGGAGCATACGAAGATTACACGATTCCGGGAAACGTGTCACTTCCACCAGGTACACCACAGAAGCACGACCACCACGGCCAGGACCAGGCTACCGGCATCCTATTCGCCTCCAAAGCCATCGTCCAACTTATGGTAAACCCCTTTTCCGGAGCACTCATCGACCGCATAGGATACGACATTCCCATGATGATTGGACTGACCATAATGTTCCTCTCGACAGCAGTGTTCGCTTGTGGCCGGAGTTACGGCCTCCTGTTCTTCGCCAGAAGTCTTCAGGGGGTCGGATCGGCGTTCGCGGACACATCGGGACTCGCCATGATCGCCGATCGCTTCACGGAGGAAAACGAACGATCCCAAGCATTAGGGATAGCTCTGGCTTTCATCAGTTTCGGTTGCCTGGTAGCGCCTCCTTTCGGAGGAGCTCTATATCAGTTCGCCGGCAAAGAGGTGCCTTTCCTAATTCTGGCGTTCGTTTCGCTGGTAGACGGTTTCATGCTTCTACTGGTCATGAAGCCCTTAAAAACGCAGTTAAAAGAATGTCAAATGGACAAACCTCCCGGGGTTCCAATCTGGAAACTATTTATGGACAAGTACATCGCGATTTGCGCAGGAGCCCTTATGATGTCGAACGTGGCACTGGCTTTCCTAGAACCAACTATAACGCTTTGGATAGAAGACAATTTAACGACAGAAAATTGGAAAGTTGGTATCGTTTGGCTACCCGCGTTTTTCCCGCACGTGTTAGGAGTTATCATAACAGTAAAAATGTCAAAGAAATATCCCCAATATCAGTGGCTTATGGCAGCAGGAGGATTAGCACTAGAAGGTTTATCCTGTTTCGTAATTCCCTTTGCAGATTCGTACATCTTTCTAATGGTGCCCATTTGTACAATTTGCTTCGGTATCGCCTTAATAGACACAGCACTTCTTCCTACTCTCGGATACCTGGTGGACGTTCGTTACGTTTCAGTGTATGGCAGCATTTATGCCATAGCAGACATTTCGTATTCTCTAGCATACGCAGTAGGGCCTATCATCGCCGGTGGTATAGTAGAAGCCATCGGTTTCACATCACTTAATGTGTTAATAGCCTTTAGTAACCTGCTCTATGCACCACTTCTCATAAAACTCAAACATATCTACGACTTTAAACCATTCGAAAACGAAGCCAATATCTTAATGCAAGATCCTCCTAACAAAGAATACCAAACGTACACCATGCAGGATCAAAAACCTGTAAGTGGAGACATTCAGAATCACCTGGAATACAAGCAGCAGGAGACTGACTTCGGTGCTGGTTACCAACAACAAGGATACCAGCAACAAACCTATTCGCACAATTTTCAACAGGAAGAACAGCCTTACCAGGAAACCCCATTTCAGCAACCTCCGCCCCGTCCTCAGGGCAGGGTGTTACCGCAGCAGCCGGAAGCGGCAAATCCTTTCAGGCCCCAAGTCCAACCAAGTGGTGGAAATCCTTTCAAACAAGGATTTTAAAATAGGTGTGTATATTGTATATTCATTTGATAGTGTATTTTATTTTGTGTATTATGTATATATTACATCATACCAGTTGTTCCTTCTATTGTATATATCGGCTGATAATTGATTAATGTAGGTAGATTTATTTAATATAGGGTAATTCTTCTGTAATGCTCGTTAAAAAAATAATTTAAAAATAGAAAGTAGCTAAAGGTACGTTTACATCTGACATTTATTGCATGAGATTTATGTCTGACAGTTGTGTAGTCTAGTGTAAACACACAAAAAGTTATCTCTGACATATATTGAGTGTTTACACTGGACTAAACAACTGTCAGACATAAATATCATGCAATAAATGTCAGATGTAAACGTACCTTAATGATTTCAGTTATAAATAATTTGAAAACGGGTGACTGAATAATTATTCTGTATCATTAAAATAGGTTAAGAATTTCGTAAATAGGCTGGATTTGAGTGAAGCCAATCTTAAAGTTTAGTGATTTGGATTTCAATATTTTCACTATCTCCCAAATAGTCAAGGTATAAAATGGAAAAATATACAAAAATAATTATTTTACGGATGCATGGACTTAAAATGCGTCTTTTTCTACTATAAGCGATTATTGGAGATAAGTGTAGAAACTATAGTTTTATTAAATAGTTTTTGATGAATTTTATGGAAATTTATATCAATAAATAAAATTATTTACTTGAGGCAACAAGTATTTTTGATTAAAAGGAATCAAAAGAGGCTAACTGCTATATTTTGATAAACAAAAGTTTAATATAACCCATAAGCTGCAACCGAGTTATTTCCTGATTAATTACGGTAAATTCCCTCCCAAGTTTTGGGTATAAATTTTTATACCTTCAAAACTTTAGTATGATACAATTTTTACAAATTGAAGCTTATAGAGATATACATTTTGTAGAATCTATATTCTAAACTTTAAAAAACTAACAAACAGACCTGTTTGTCCAGAAATTCGCCTACTTTGATGAAGAATATTGCAAAATTAATTAGTTTACTGGAAATAAAAGATTTTGTACCTGTTAATCACCAGAGACAACTTATTTATCAATGGGAGAAATTTCTGACCTTTTAGAACAGGGTACGGCAGGATTTTTAGAACACTGAGCCAGTTGCAAACAAAATATCTTTAGGAAGGCTGAACAGTCCAAAAAAACATTATTCACTGACATTATTAAACTTTTATAATTTTCTTCTTCTTCAACTAAGGATCTGTACTTTTCAGAGGAAAATTCATTTGAAATCTCCTCTGTTTTGACTTTAAGCTCTGGTAATGTCTATTGTGGCTTGTTATTTGTTATTTATTGTAGATTTCGGAAAACTGCTGCATCCTGCTGAAAAGTATTATTTTCGCAAAGATACTTGGTAGCAAGCTGTTTCGCAACATTTTTTAAATCGGTCGGTGTTACACTCCAAATGAGTGTGGCCTGGTACTAAAAACGTATGGTCTATTGTTTTTATCCTCTTATTTTCAGAAATTGCAACTTGAAAGATTTCTAGTTTGCCCTGGGCAAGTGTAACTTTAAAATATGAGGTTTGTTTTGTTTAGTACTAAATCAGAAGCTATGAATTTGTACAAGCAAGAGCGTACTTGTTCCCCGTTCCTTGCAGCTACTGTCTCGTCCCACATCAATTAAAAGACTTCACCTATTTTGCAATCATGAATAGTGAGGTTGAAGACCCACAGCTGTTTTTTATAGAATGCAATTCTGGTTTGCAGGTAGGGTGACAGCAAACACTGTTGCAACTCTTACAAAGGTTGTATTCTGTGCCATGATTTTATCTTTTGCTTTAACTGAATCAGCTTTATCAGCAACATCTTGATGTTTGTGTGAATCTAGCTGTATCCTCTTCAGTTGTAGCTACTTTTAGTTGGTTGTTAAGTGAGTCGCATTTACCACAAGTGTCTAAACTTGGTGACTTAAATTTCAGATTCATCATTTTTATTTGTTGTGAATATAGTTTAGAATTGTTGTTACGTCTTTGCAGAGTTTTTACATTTTATTTAAATTAAGATAAGGGTGCAAATATTTTTTGCTTGTAAGTCGTCTGGAATAGTGACTGTTGTCATATGAGGGAACTGATTTGATATGGGATAATGCTTGTTATATTCTTTTAATACTTGTTTTATTGACTGGATCATGTTTCCCTCTTCTGTTTGCAATAGTCCTGTGTAGATATCTAATTTATTTTGAAGAACAACATGTATAAAACTTTTTGTAACATAAAAGACTACCATGAAACAGTTTTTACATAGGTCTAATCTTTATCTATTTCAATAGTATAGCGAGCAGAAATCTGTCTCCTTCCTTGCTTACTGGGGCTAACAGTTTCTGCTAATATCTCACTTGTTTCTTTATGAGTTTTATTAAACCAGTTATATAAAAGTGTTTTCATTTCTAAAATTTAATTGATAAAAGTTTTCAAAAAACACTATTGTTGATCATGTTGAATTAGGTGTATCGAATCGTGGTTTTGAGAGAAAAATAAGATATATTATGTTGACGTTATTAATTTATTTTTTTTTTCTCTCAAAACCACGATTCGATACACCTAATTCAACATTATGGCGACCGTGACAGGACACAGTGTAAAGAATCTTTTGATTGAGAGAAAATTACAGAGAAAAACTTTCAACAAACTATTACAAAAACTAGATGAAGAGCTAGCAAAGAAAACCATTAGTAAGGACAACGTTCTTGATCAGTTCTCCATTCTAGAAGAGACAGCTGAATGTTTATTCTTGTCTGATGAATGTCTTAAAGAGCACCTTTATTCAACACTGACCGAACAGGAAATCGAAAAGGAATTTGACGACATTCAGTACTACAAAACCAACATGATTGTTTATAGAAGAAAGTGTAAAGCAATAGAGAGTCAAATACAAGAAGAAAAGGATTCTATAAAGTCAAGAGGCGACAGAAGAAAGAGATTTCAACTACCAAAAATTGAGTTCAAGAAGTTTGATGGAAACGTAAAAAATTGGATTGGATTTTGGGGACAATTTAAAAAGATAGATGAAGATGAAGATATAGATCTGGAAGACAAGTTCCAATACTTAATTCAAGCAACTGAACCGGGCACTGTGGCAAGAGATCTTGTTGAGAGCTTTCCTCCTTCTGGTCCAAATTACACTAAGGCAGTAAACACTTTGAAAACACGCTTTGCCAAGGATGAACTTCTTATTGAGGTATATGTAAGAGAACTGTTACAATTAGTACTTCAACAGTCAACAGAAGCTAAATCAGGTATGTCTTTGGCAGCTTTGTATGATAAATTAGAAACACAAATAAGATCTTTAGAAACTCTTGGTGTTACTAGCGATAAGTACGCAGCTATGCTCTACCCACTCGTGGAATCTTCACTACCAGATGAGCTGCTGAAAGTTTGGGAAAGACAAAGAACGATTTCTAGGAACCAAGCTAGAGTTGGAAATGACAATTTTAACGATTCTAACCATTTGTCTATGTTATTAGATTTTCTTCGAGCGGAAGTCGAGTCTGACGAGAAGATCAAGCTGGCCAAACATAGTTTTGAAGTACCAGAAAGCATTGAAGCTAAGCACAGTAACAGCAGGGTCAGTCAGTCACAACAGAAATACAGTTTCAGAAAATCCAAGCAAGATAATGTAGATAGTGAAGCATGTACTGCAGCAGCACTTTATACTTCAGCAGGTTCGAAAAATCACAATCAAGCAGGTAAAAACGTTTCTAACTGTATATTTTGCAATAATTTACATGCAAGTCAAGACTGCATTAAAGCACAGAGTCTATCTATATTAGAAAGAAAAAACAAAATTATGAGCAAAGGAGGATGCTTTACTTGTTTAAAAATCAATCACAGAAGCAAAGATTGTAAGGCATTCATAAAATGCTTAATTTGTACAAAAAGACACTATCCTATCCTATGTCCGGACTTGCCTGTAAAAGATAAACAAAAAGTTAGCCAAAAGAACCTAGAAAACACTGAACAAGGTACAACTAGTAGTAATCTAGAACAAGTTTTAACTACTAGTAACGAGTATACTGAAACTTTGTTACAAACAATTTTAATTAGACTTGTAAATCATAATAAGGAAAAGATAGTCCGTTGCTTGATAGATTCTGCATCACAGAGATCATATATATTAGCTGAAACGGCCTCAGAATTACAATTTGTTAAAAGTGGTCAAGAAACTATTATACAGGGTGTATTCGGTGGATTTTCCAAATCTCCAGAAATTCACAATATTTTTGATATCACCGTACAGAATTTGACTACTGATTATAAAACACAACTACGCGTATTAGATCAAAAAGAAATTTGTTCATTTATTCCTAGATTACAGAACACAGATATTATTAAAGAATTGAGTAGTAAGAATATTTTTATTAGTGATATAGATGTAAATAATAGTTCAAGTAAGATAGAATTTCTGTTAGGAGCAGACATTTTTGGTAAATTACTCACAGGAAATATTGAAAATTTAAATAACGGTTATGTTGCCATAGAAACGCAGTTAGGTTGGACAATATTGGGTCATCAAAGACGTACTGTGTGTAACCTAGATCTAATCTGTTCTAGCTTTTGTTGTCACACTATAGCAGATTTGTGGAAACTGGAGATGTTAGGAATCACAGATCCTGCAGAAGTAAAAACAAAAGAATCTGAAGAAGAAGAAATCCTTAAGACATTTAATAAAACTATTCAAGTGAATGAAAAAGGGCGATACGAAGTGGTATTACCATGGATAGACGGCAACGAGAAGTTAGCTTCAAATGAGCTATTAGCAGTAAACAGACTGACTTCTGCATCAAAAAAATTAATCTCTTTGAAGAAATTTGAAGAATATGAAAGAGTTTTTGATGAATGGGAGAAATTAGAAATAATAGAAGAAGTTATAGGCGAGGCTAAAAAGAAAGGAAGTACTCATTATTTACCTCATCATGCCGTTATCAAAGAGACAAGTAAGACTACTAAAATTAGGCCAGTTTTTGATGCC